TCAAATTTGATATGTTTGTTGGTAAACTTTAATATAGTCTTGGCATTGTAAAACCTGTACATAATATTTTAATATAGGTTTCAGCAAGCGACCTTATTATATTTGTAACAAGTCCAAGTTTTACTATGGTTCAGTATTCAAGCTAAACCAAATAATTAATTAAATTAATTAGTTCAAAAAATGTCTTTGATGATGTTAATTAACATTAACCGGATGTACAGAATTTTTCAGATAGCGATAGTACATGATGATGTTTATTGTATATAAAAAATATAAAATATGTCATCAAATAAACCAATAATTTGTCGATCTGAAAAACCCACAATTTTGCAAAGTGAGGGGTAAAATGGGAGAAAATGTATTTAAGGAGAACAGAGAGCTTTCTGCAATATTATAAATCGATCTTTGATCACAATGATATCATTGATGATTGATGATGATGCTGATGCTGAGTTGATGCTGATGTTGATGCTGAGTTGATGCTGAGTTGATGCTGATGTTGATGCTGATGTTGATGCTGATGTTGATGCTGATGCTGATGTTGATGCTGATGTTGATGTTGATGCTGATGTTGCTCATGATGATTCTTTTCTTCTTTTCTTTTTCTTTTTTTCTTCTTTTCTTTTTTCTTTTCTTTTTTTATTTCGTTTTTTTTTTTTGGTTAAAAGGGCGTGGGTTACCTTTTTTTGCGCGTAAATAACTTTGAAATTAAACTGATATTAATGTATAACGATAACGTTTGCGTTCTCGATCTGCTGGACCAATAATGAAAGCCTTAATATATTTAAAAGTTTTTCTGTGAATTTTTTCGGCCCACTGATATTTGTAGCTGTATTTTAGAATTAAATACAAGTTTCGTAATGCATTGTAATCTGAATCTATTTTTGAAAAGCTTGATTGAATCAGAGTAACTTGTTTACATTTTAGATTTTTACCTCGTTTATAAACTCTCATGTAATTTGCTTTGAATTATCGACACAATTTATCATTTGTAACCGTGCAATAATGCCTTATAAATCTTTCCAAAATCTCGTTTAGTAAGATTTCAACATCAAAAGGGATTAATTCAAAAGAATTTTAGCATTTTCTCGTTTGAATTAGTTTTACGGATGTATAAATTGCATTGATTATGCTTCATTTATTTATCATTTTGAATTAAAAATAATTTTTTTATTTCTGCAAATGACCTCTATAATGTTTTATCGATTGTAAAATCTAACCTTCTCTTTTATTATCTGTTTACATACGCACAAAGATTTTGTTTTGTAGAGTAAGAAATCTAATACAAGGGGATCGGGAAGAACATTTAAAGGATTTGGATACTTAAAACTATATCATGGTAAAAGACAATATAACTCAAGATTGATTAGGCATGTGCCCCGGCCAAATTCATCGTGGGTGTCAAATTCGAACTAACAGTTAATCATCCAAGTTAGAAATTTTGACACGTTGATAGAAAAGATGATTAGGGTTGTACCTCAGCACTAGAATTAAAAGATCAGTTTCTTGTTACTTTATCCAAATCGTGATTGAATATGCGACCTCAATAACAAGGTTTGGTTAAGGTTCATTCTGAAATCGTGAAAGCATGAATCTTAGCTTTGAAGCAATAGAAAGAAAAGTTGACCTTTCCATCACTTCCCGTTAGTGCAGGCACTCATGGTTCAGTGAGCGAAACGATACGTCGGCTTCTTTTCCAGAATTATCACTACGTGTTTCTTTAAGAAACAAATATTAGTTCAATGTTATAAACTCGTAAGTGTCAACTATTAACTTTCTCGGTTCTTAGATTTGTAAACTCGGCATCGGTCCCATCAACACTAATGCAAGCACTCCTTATCATTGTAGAAATCACACCAATAGTAACTTTATGTGAGTTTGATTAAAGTTCATAAATCACGACTTTATAATCGGACCATTCCCATAGATCATATTCCTCTAATGTAACTCCGTCAGCGAACGTGTATGGAAATCTTGATGTAATCAGCGAAAATTAGCTTATATCATCACTAGCTCATAAACTATTCAGTCCTTAATGATAACTTGGATTTTGCGCATTTCGACATGAGTGACGTACAAGGGCACATGATTCGGTTTGGAGAACGGGCTGGGTTTTTCCGTTTCTTGTCACGCCACCTCTTTGATACGACGAATTAGATTTTGGTCAATACTTACATCGTTTATATCTCCTTGTGGATGAATTCCAGTTTATCTTCGAATACATCGCAGCAAGGGATTTCTTCATATCACTCTCTTCCAAGAAAGTATCCTATATTTGTATGGGTACCTTTAAAGTCGTGGATTTGCTGGGCGATGGGGACCCGTTTCAACAAGGCCTCTTTCATCCAGATGCCATTCTTCACAATGGAAGAGATGGGTAAACTCTTCCGTTTATATAATGAGTTCTTTGATGAGAGCGTCCCGAACGATTTGCAGTCAATTATCGCATGCGATTCCGGCGTCCTTTATGATTCTATTGAAGCACTTTCGCGATTTCCGGCAGGATTCTGCGACCGCATGGAGCCTTGTATTGAAGGAAACCCTTGAATATTATCTGAATAGAACTCATCAAAAACTTAAGCATGCATTGCAAAACATGGATTCAGCCAACCTAGCCTATATCCGTGACCTCACGGCAATTAAAGATGAATCTTGGGAAATGAATTTACTCAAGCTCAGCGAGATTGACAATTATTTACTCAACATCGGTATTCTCGTGTCCTTGGCCAGAAATAAAGGAACTGCCGTTACGAACAGAGTTTCTTTCTCGAGCAATGTCATTTTTCGTGTTGTCTTCGAGATGGTCTGGCCGCAACCAAGGAAATCTTTACCAATACCAATGCAAGCTGTGACAGACCCTCTCCTCCTATTAATATACATTACGAAATATCACCCCGGCCACGATCGTAAATCCACATGTAAAAAACTTACATGGCCCGTCGGAAAAAGCCTTCCAAGCGGCGATTTTCTCTGTCTTGAATGTGCTGTTGCCAGCCTCAATGACGTGCTTGTTCGAAGTAAAAATCCGGTCTCATGAGGCCCTTAATCTGATGGTGATTGAAAAAGACACAAATTGGAGTGGTTATGAGTTCAAAGTCGGAAAATTATCTGCGGCCGAGTTCAAAGCGCCAGTGGAACAGTTTAAAAGATATGCTGAATACTTTAATATGAATATATAGTTGGTTAATTTCTACCACGATGATGGCTCAACTCCGGCTGCAATTTGTGTGTGATCCAAAAACGTCACCTTAGTGAATGTCAAGCATAATGCGGAATGTACCAAATTTACTGTTTATGTATTTGATCAAGAGACGCATATCAATGTCTCATGAAGATGTGAACTATATACGTCAATTCATAGTTGTAGTATCTCTTAGGTGTAGTAGCCTCATTAAATTCACTGCATTTGTCAGCATAACGATGAATTAAATGTCACCTATTAGAAGTGAAACAAATGTCAGAATGAAACTATACTTCAAATATTTTAAAAATAAAATTATTGTTCTTAACTAAATAGGTACCAATCTTAATTGTAAATTACAATTTTTATATCTTCAAAGAAAATATTTTTTTATATTTTCAAAGAAAAAATTTCATTTATGCTACGATCTTCAAAGAATTTTTTGTTACCTTTCAAAGAAAACATGTTGGTATACATGGATACGATAATGTTATTGTTGATCCTTATTACAAAAAAACACAAAAGTCTCACGAAGATCCCTCAACGCCATCTCCTCCAGGCTCTTGCGTAGCGTGAAGGTGGGTTGCGCAGAGCCTATGAACCAGCAGTAGGATGCGTTCCGTCTATGCTTATCCTATTGTGAATTTGATATTTATATCAAAAATAAGAATACTTGAACTTCACTTGTTAACAATTGTGGGTTTTATTTGGAAAGATTTAACTTGATTGGCTAAAAAATCTATCATTTCTGACTGAGATCACCAGATCATGAGCAAAAATTCACAGTAAATCAGATACGTAGAGATTGTGACGTTATCATTTATATCGATAGTGAAACTTGCCTGAGTATTCGGAATTATAAAGTATATGTGATTGGTTAATATTGAAGTTGTTACATGTAACAATTTTCACAATTAGATTGATCCTTATTTTTTACTCTAATAAAAAAAATACTTAAAGTTGTTCATTATATCGATATTACATAACTGATATTTTTAATAAATTTTCTTTAATAAAAATTTCAGTTGCTTGTGGCGTCTACTGTGACAAATTATGGTATATTTTCTATCTTATTGAATGCGAATATTATGTGTGTATAAAATTGAGATTGACACGAAAATCAAATAATGTCTAACTAATTAGCTTGCGTAATTTTAGATGACTTAGAAACAATTTGCCAGTTATTTTATTTATCCAGTAAAACGAAATTCTGATCTCTTCATCCATGATGGTAAGCTCACATGATAATTTTTTGCTGGGTTTGATCCAGTGCCCTTTTGGTAGCTTGATCGAGAGATTCATTTTCCATCGGGATTTTGAATTCCATGACCACCACCATTATCAGATAGTCTCATACATATTAAACCTTCCAAGTCCTGCTTCTTGGTTTGAAATTATTTTAAATTCAAGCTGCTCAGTAATAAGATACAGAGTAGGTGAAGGCATGATAACATACAAAATCTTTTTCAGGTTTATCGATATGCTCAGATTGGTTCAAGTTTTATTAATTTATTCTTTCACTTAGAAAACACTTTGCAGATTTGGAATAATGAGTGACAGTGTTGAATTCTAATAGAATTTCTTGATATATGATAAAATAGTCTGTATAATATAGTATAATTCATAAGACTGAATCATTCTTAAGTATAAATTATTATAACTTTGGATTTTGATTTTTATTGCAATTCTAAGTATCTTAGTTCCATTTTCTTTGAACTTTAGTAAAGCTCTGTTCGGGTCGAGTCGGATCGGGTTTGAGGTCAACCCGAACCGATAATTTCGGGTCTGTTCGGATTCGGATTCGGATCGGGTTTGATCCGAAACTCGTAAAATAGTTTTTCGTTAATAACTTTTATTTTTACTAAAACACTTGTATTTTGTGTCTAAGTAGAGTTGTTCGGAATGTAATTGTGTATATACCCACAAATTTTTGTTTAATTCTAATCAATATTGAACGAGAAATAACGTTTTTTAGGCTGACCCCAATCCGACCCGACCCGGTTGGAGCACTAAACTTTAGCCAAAGTAATTTTGAAGAAGCTCAGTATTTTTTATTTATAACAAAACAAGATTATAATTAAAGTAAGTTAAATCTTGTTATAGTCCAGTGCAAAAAGATTTGCATCTCAAATAATTATTAATATATTTTTTTAAACTAAAATTTTAATTCTGTTTTATTTAATTAAAATAAATATATTTTAATTATATATATTTCATAAAAAACTTTTTTACTATTAATAACTTTTTTGAATTCTTATTTCATAAATTTTACTATATAAAATTTGATTAAAATTAATATTAAACATATATAATAAATAATTTAATTATTAAACTTTGAAACTTTATTTTGTAATAACTATTAATTCAATCTTTATGAAATATATAATATATTTTTATCAAATATATGGAATATGCTTGTATAATTTGAAGTTCTAACATTGCAAATTAATAAAATAATGCTTAAATGTATTTTTTAAAAAAATCATTTTTATTTTATTTTATTTTTTAGAAAAGTATTGTTTTATTATTGAATAAAAGTACAAAAAAATATTATAAATAGTTAATTTAAATTATTCTTTACTTAGTATAAAAAATTATAGAGTTTAGTTGGATTTTAAATGATTTTTATAAGAAGCAATTATTAATTTTTATTTTGAGATACAAATCTTTTTGTATTGGACTATAAGTTCTAATAAAAATCTTGTGATACAAATAACTTCAATCAGAAAAGCTTTTGTGAAAGAATTATTATTCTATATTCAATAAATTATAAAAATACTTGCTTTAAGCAATAATAGAAAAGATTTTTAAAGAATAAAATTATTCTATCATGTATTCATATTGAAAAATAATATTTGTAAGAACACTATACTCATTAACTAGAACAATGCATTTCTTTATGTGGTAAAATTTAAAATAATCAGATAGTTTTTTCAGGCTCTGGCTCAACTTGAGTTATATTTCTGTCTTATTCACCTTAAATAAATTTTTGATGTCCTCTTATTTAGATAAATTACAGTCTCAAACAGCATATCAAATCATATCTTAAGAGAAAAGTAAATGATCAGATATAGAAAAAATTGTTTTTGTGCAAATTGCTTGTTTTCTGTAGTAATAACTAATAGGAAATGTATGTGATAATATAAAGTATAAAACTAATTACTAGTAGTAACTAAAATGATTATCACATTTTTTATATAAAAACAAAAAGTTCATTTTTGATCATTGCACAACAAACTAACTCAACAATAATAAAATTTGATAAAACATAATAATAGATAACAGTGTTTTATCATAAATTTGTTGTTTTTCTTGTAAGACACCTGATATATTCATTCTTTATCACTATGGCTTCAAATAATATATTAAGATTGAATCTGTTTTGCATTAATTCAAAAAGTGATTTACCCTTACTAGGAATATAGTGATAGAAATTAATACTCAAAAGAATTGATATTTATATTTATATCAATCACATATTCTAAAGTTACCTTGATTAAATATCTTTCCTCTTCTTCCAACATGTTTTAAATATAGTATATATCATCTAAAGTTATTAAACATTTATATTTTATAAAGTGAATAAACTTCTTTACTAAGAAGTAAATACAAATTTAATTCATAAATATGATAGAATAGATCCTTTTTGAGTATATTTACGAATTAAATTTTGTATTTACTTCTTAATAAAAAAGATTATATATTTTATAAAATACAAAATATTTGATGACTTTAGATATTATGTATCATAGAACTTGATAAAAATTAATAATAATTTATGTAATTGTAAACGAGTGTGGCCAATTATAATTTCATTTTATCAGTAACTGGATAAAGATTTATTACTTTCTGAAAGTTATTTTATGATTCATATTAGTATGATGATAACAAAATTATTGTATAGAATATAAATATAATTTATTAAATACTTATCTATTTATTCATTTTTGCATTCACTAATAATATAAAAATCACTTTCATAGATTATTTTTTATAATAATCAAATATGAGTTTAGATTTAATTCTGTTTCAAATCACAATTTATGGGTGCAATTCCTATGTATCAATATCAGAATTATATAAAATCACTTTGCTATTAGAAATAATCAGAATATTTTTGCATCATTATTTGAAACACTGAAGAAATATGATATATAAAATCTAAAGTCATCAAATATTTATATTTTATAAAATATATAAACTTCTTTATTAAGAAGTAAATACAAAATTTAATCCATAAACATGCTCAGAAAGATCCTATTCTATCATATGCACAAATTAAATTTATATTTACTTCTTAGTAAAGAAGTTTATATATTTTATAAAATACAAATGTTTAATGATTTTAGATATTGTGCATTATAATATAGAAAAAGATGTGTGGATGACCAAATAAACAATCAATTTTATATGAAATCATAACAATTCAATAGTAGAAATCATATATTAATAAGAATTATTGATAATTATATGTTACTAAATTGCAGAATATTATAACTATCTTTACTATTTCAATCACTTCAATTTTTACTCTTAATTCCCATTGTAAATATTTATTTCGATATATGATGAAATTCCAGTTTGAATCTATTTACTCATATTTTTAGTTTGAGTAAATTATCACAGCATTATTTGATATACATGAATTCAAATAAATGAAGAATTGAGTTTCAATATTAGAAGATGAGGAACAATAAAAAAATATTATAAGTGAAAATAACATCATTGAAAAAAGATAACTCTGCTTTTTTGAGAGTGAGAATTGTCATGCATATTCGTCTTTTGATGAGTTATTATAAACAATAAATTTCTCATTGTGAATAGAGTTTGATTTCTATTTTATTTTTATCCTGTTT